TCCTGGGAGCGGGGCAGACAAGATTCCTGCTGGTGTTCCAGGGGCAGAAGACCAACAGCTACTTGGAAACAAACATGTGAATAACTGCCAATAACAGCAAGTGCTCTCAAAGAAACGGAGCAGAGGGAGGGGTGGCCCTTTACCCTGGCGTGCAGAGCAGGCTCTCTTGGAGGAAGTGCCTTGTGAGCTGAGATCTAAATGGGAGAAGAAACCAGCCACGCCAGGGTCTGGGGAGAAGGTCACTGTGGGCGGGGGGAGCAGCAAGTGCCACGGCCCGGAGGCAGGGAAAGTCAGTGCGCTAGCGGAGCAGAGAGACGCCGGGAGGGGCGGGAGGGTAGTCAACGAAGCGGAGAGCCCGGATCATGCTGTTGCTTACAGACTGTGGAAAGGAGTTTAGGTTTTTTGCTTCCCATGTTGAAGCCTCCCTGGCTTTCTGTCACTACTTTTTTTGTGTGTGTTGTCTTATTTATTATTTGGCTGCACTGGGCCCTTGCTGTCTCATGCAGGAGCTTTTGCTGCGACACACAGACTCCTTAGTTGTGGTGTGGGGCCGTCGCTCGCTGAAGAATGTGGACTTGGCTGCTCTGTGGCTTGTGGGATCTTCGTTCCCCGACCAGGGATTGAACCCACGTCCCCTGCGTGGCACGGCAGATGCTTGACCACTGGACCGCCGGGGAAGTCCCCACTGAGTCTTGCAGCGCTGTGACTTGGTCCTCAGTGACTGTAGCGCTGAGTGGCTCAACTTGTCACGGGCGCTGTCGTCTCAACGTCTTTGTGGCTCTTTGGTCATTGTTTCCCGTATTCTTAGAAAATGAAACAAACCCGTTTCTTTGCTTAAAATGGCAGCAGATTAAGGAGAAAATATAAATGAAAAGTCAGTGAGGATCTGCCCAGGAAACCTGTGGTTCTCACTGAACACAGGATCCATATTTCCAAATATGGGAAGGTCAAAGATCTGCAGATGCTGTCTTCCCGACTGTCCAAGGCCTGCTCTGCTGTGACTTACCATCCTCAGTGTCATCGATTGGCTATTTTTTCAGCTAAGTAATTAGCTCCTTTGGGCTTCCCAGGAGGCTCAGTGGTAAAGAATCCACCCGCCAATGCAGGAGCCCCAGGAGATGAGGGTTTGATCCCTGGGTCGGGAAGATCCCCTGGAGGAGTAAATGGTAACCTGCTCCAGTGTTCTTGCTGGGATAATCCCATGGACAGAGGAACCTGGCGTGCTGCAGTCCATGGGGTCACCAAGAGTCAGACACGACTGAATGGCCGAGCATGCCTGCAGGGCTATTAGCTCCTTTAGACGTAAATTCTGTGTATGAAACTGATTTTCTACACAAATAAACTTCCACACAGTACCAAACACATTTTTGGTTTCATGAAATGGTGGGTGCTTGTGAAGTCTCTAGTTAAGTCCACTTTGAAGTCTTTTGTTTACACTGACAGAGGGATTGTGTAAAGAAGGTGTGTAATAGCCAGTTATCAGGGTTTATGACCACCCACAGGCTTCCATGGGGGCTCAGACGGTAAAGAATCTGCCTGCGGTGCAGGAGACCCAGGTTCTATCCCTGGGTCAGGAAGATCCCCTGGAGGAGGTCATGGCAACCCACTCCAGTACTCTTGCCTGGAGGATCCCACGGACAGAGGAGCCTGGTGGGCTACAGTCCATGGGGTCACAAAGAGTCGGACATGACTGAGCTACTAACACACACACACACACACACACACACACACACACACACACTTGACCATCCACATTGTGGGAGGAATATCCCATGATATAAATCCCTCCCCACCAATTTACATGGAAGCCAGCCTGTCTTTCTCAGCCTCCCTTGAATCTAGGGTACAGCCTGTGGTCTTGACTTCTACAATCATTCACCCACATAACACTTGAAATTGGAAGAAAGCAATGTGAGTAATCAGTTGCTTCCTAGAATCCAGTTTTCAGAGAACAGGGGAGCGAGGTGTCCACCTATTTAAAGCAGAGGGAGACAGACGACCCTGGTGGTCCAGTGGTTAAGACGCGACACTTTCACAACAGGGGTTTGATCCCTGGTCAGGAACTAAGATCCTGCATGCTATGGGGTATGGCAATAAAATAAAATTAAAAACAAAAAGCAAAACAGCCAGAGGCAGAGGGTTGGCACCCAGAACCTAGGCTCAGCGGAGGACCGTGGATCTGTGTCCACTGACCGTCTTTGCCAGAGCTGCCCTGCAGCGTGACTCACACGTTCATGAACTTTCAGTCTGAGTCTGGCCCTCCAGGAACTTCTGTAAGTGACCTCCTATCCTTTAATGCATTCCTTTTTCTATGTAAACTGATAGAATGCCTTCTATTTTTCTCAACTGAGAACTCTGACTGATGCAGGCAGGGTAGAGGAAGCAGGGACATGTTCAATGAAGTGTTAGGGTTGCAAATGAATCAAGAATTAAAAAACAAAACCTCTGTAAGTTATGATTTAAGTCAATGGGGGGGATGATGGCTGATTCATCAAAATCCAATTTGCTCACACACTCTTGGAGAGCAGAGCTATCGAAATAACATTTCTGTTAAGCAGAAAGCAGGTATTTGGCAACTAGAAGCTTGTAAAGACATTTGGGCTGTAAAATACCCCAGTAGGATGCTGTGTAAGCATGTAAAATAAAGCTCTTAATGCTTCTCACTTACACATGTAGTGGCGCGCTGCTTGATGGTATTCTATTCTGTCCCAGTATTAGCTGTTTCCTTTTCACCTTCAGACCCCAGGTGTGTGTAAGGCCATGGGAGTGTTTCTACATTGAGTTCCTGGCAACGGAAGGGGAGGTTTTGAAATACTTGGCAGAAATGGTATTCTTGTACACTAAGTCTCCTACATATGAGTGAGTTCTGTTCTGAGAGCGTGTTCATAAGTCCTAAAATACACAAACTTCACCATTCTTTGGAAAACAGCAAAATCTAGACACAACAACGTCACATGCACAAAGCTTAGCATCCAATTAAAGTTAGTCAACGATATCATAGGACATCACTTATATGTGGAATCTAAAAAGAAACAATACAAATGAACTTACTTACAAAACAGAGAGTCACCCACTTAGAAAAGGAACTGAAGGTTGCCGAGGGGTGGGATAGTTCGGGAGTCTGGAACTCTACTCAATGTTATGTGCCGGCCTGGATGGGAGGGGGGTTTGGTGGAGAATGGGTACCTGTATATGGATGGCTGAGTCCCTTCGCTATTCACCTGAAACTATCACAATATTGCTAATCAGCTATACCCTAATACAAAATTAAAAGGTTAAAGTTTAAAAAAAAAAAAAGCTGGTCAACACATTAACAACCAGGAAAAGGTGAGCCATACCCAGGAGAAAAATCAATCAACTGGAACAGACCCAGATGTGACAAAGGTAATAGAATTAGCAGATAATCACTTTACAAAAGAGCAATTATCAATACAGCAAGTCCCCTACATATAAATGAGTTCCGTTCTGAGCTCATTTGTAAGTCCGATTTTGTTTGTGAAATCCAACAAAGTGAGCTAACACAATCGGCTATAGAGTGCGGGACTATAATGGGTTAATAATACTTTTCACCTTTTAAAAAGTTTAACATGCTTTTATGTTGTTTCACATAAAAAATAAGCTCAAAAATAAGCATTTTAAACCTTACAGCAGAGAACCGTGAGAAGCCCAGTAGCACATGCAGCAGTTGGCCCACGGGGGCTGGCATCGAGTGAGCAGGCAGGAAGAGCCTCTGATTGACAGAGGGGGCAGGAGACGGCAGAGCTGCAGGCTGGTCCGTGGGCGGCGCAGGTACTGGCTCCTTGCTGGATTTAGTTCTGTCTACCCTCTGGAAAAAGATGATCCGGTGATGTCTGTCTGGGTAGTGACCCTGGTTTGCTTGTCACAGATGACATGGCAGGACTCAGTCGCATTCTAAACTGCTGCTACAGTCTTCGTTACCACTTTACCTTTGGGTCCTGGGCCTCAAAGGCTCTCATTGCCTCCTCAAACAAAGAAAATCCCCTTGGAAACAGTTTCAGGAGGGTAGGTGTTAGCGCTTCTCCAAATGTTTCATAGAATTCACCTTTGAAGCCAACTGAGCTGGACTTTTGTTTGCTGGGAGTTTTTAATCCTCAGTTTCCAGTTTAGTACTTGCGATGGGTCTGTCCATATTTTCTGTTTCTTCCTGATTCAGAGTTGGGAGAATGTACCTTTCTAAGAATTTGTCTTTTTCTTTCAGGTTGTCTGTTTTATTGGCATAGAGTTGCTTGTAGCAGTCTTTTATGATCCTTTGTATTTCTGTGGTGTCAGTTGTAGCTTCTCCTTTTTCATTTCTAATTTTATTGATTTAAGCCCTCTCCCTTTCTTTCTTGATGAGTCTGGCTAAAGGGCTATCAATTTTGTTTATCTTTTCAAAGAACCAGCTTTTAGTTTCATTGATTTTTCTGTTGCTTCTTTAGACTCTATTCCATTTATTCCTGCTCTGATCTTTGCGATTTCTTTCCTTCTATCAACTTTTGGCTTTGCCTTTTCTTCCTTCCCTAGTTGTGTTAGGTATGAGGTTATGTTGTTTATTTCAGATTTTTCTTGTTTGTAAGATTGTCACAATGATCCCTGCCTTGTCAGCCTTATTGAATCGTAATAGGATTTAAACAAGATAATTAAAAGATTTTAAAAACCAAAAACCATGAAAGAAATGGATGACACATATTTTTTTAACACTATGTAGTTTATTTTTAAAATGTTAATTTATTTTAATTGGAGGATAATTACTTTACAATATAGTGATCGTTTTCGCCATACATCGACCTGAATCAGCCACGGGTGCACATGTGTCGTCCCATCCTGGAATGGATGATACATATTTTTACCAGTCAGGGTTATCAGTCAGAAGATAGAAACCCCTCTAGGTCTTTAGATGGAGAGAAATCTTACATAGGAATTAGGTCACAAGATGTTTGGGAGGGCTAGGGGAGCAGAAAGCAGTAAGCAAGATGCTCTCTTGAGTCCAAAAAATGCAGAAATCTGCTGCTGCTCCGGAAGGGGTCCCCGTATTCGGGGCATTTCCGCTGGGTAACCACTAGCAGGACCGCCAAAGGACTGGCGGCCACCTCGCCCTCTCCTCCTCACCGTGGTGAGTCCTTCTCGCCAGTGGAAGCGAAACGAATTTTTCCGCTTTGCAGAGGAGAGCTTACAGAGGTGGTTAAGGACCACAGATGGTGCGTTTTCGCTTTAAATTAATTTTTATTGGAGTATCGTTGCTTTACGATGTCGCGCCAGCTTCTGCTGTACCGCAGGGGGATCAGCAGCAAGCGTGCGTCTACCCCCTTCCGTGGGTTTCCTTCCGCTTTAGGCCACCGCAGAGCCCTGGGCAGGATTCTGCGGGCTACACAGCGGGATCTCGCTAGTTGCCTGTCTCATGCATCGGAGCGCATACGCCGGTCCCAGCCTCCCAGTTCATCCCAGCCCCGCCGTTTCCCTCTTGATGTCCATGCCTTTGTTCTCTGCCTTGCCCACAGATGATGCTCAATCCAAGCACAATGTTTAATCCAGGTTTCCTCCTCTGTACCAGGGCCCTATTACAGAAACAGTGTCTCTCTGGCTCCTGCTCCTTCCGTAGTTACGGGTCTTTTACTCGCTCTGAAATGTCTTCCTGGGTCTTCCGGAGTATTTCCGAGTGTGGCTGAATACCATCTTTTCAGCTGGGGGCGGGGCGGGGGCGGGGGGTCTCCTCTTGGGCGCTGCTTGCAGGACCTGCCCTGGGGACCTCTGAGCCTGGTTCTCCCGTGGCCTTCCTGTTGGCTCTGCTGCTAAAGGGTCTGGCACCCTTGAAAGCTCACGGGCCGCCGTGCAAGGCTGTGCCTGCCGCTCAGGCTGCTGGCGCCATCAACCGCAGGAACTCCCGGTTCCACCAGGATGCGCCAGCTGCAGGTGACAGCATCAGCTGTGGAAGCTCCGCCCTAGCAAGGTGCCACCGCCACCGTCTGCTGAAGATGCTGCCACATCACCCCCCAACACTGCCAGTCACCGGTTCCATCGTCCACACGATGTCCCAGAAGCAACCTCCTACCCACACCACACTCGGCTTCTTTATTCTGCAGGTAGCTGTGTTTGTTGCCCCGAACTTATTGCCACATATGGCCCTGTTCCCATATGACACAGAATTTTTTGTTCAAACAAAGCACTCCTTTAGTATTCTGGGTTTTTCAAATTAAACATACTCTCTCTTTTTATCAAAGTAGTACATGGATACAGGTCTATTTATTTATTTATTTATTTATTTTTTCCCATTTATTTTTATTAGTTGGAGGCTAATTACTTTACATCATTGCAGTGGTTTTTGTCATACTTGAAATGAATTAGCCATGGATTTACATGTATTCCCCATCCCGGTCCCCCCTCCCACCTCTCTCTCCACCCGATCCCTCTGGGTCTTCCCAGTGCACCAGGCCTGAGCACTTGTCTCATGCACCCAACCTGGGCTGGTGATCTGTTTCACCCTAGATAATTTATTTATTCATTTTATTTCCTGGCTGAGCAGCAGGGCATGTGGGATCTTGGTTCCCCCAAAAGGGATCAAACTCGCACCCCCTCCAGTGGAAGGGCAGAGTCTTAACCACTGAACAGCCAGGGAAGTCCCGGTATTCTTTGTTTTTGAAGTTCACTACTCATCTTTCCCTAAGGACTGGACCACAGCACAGAACACGATGCCCATTCACTCGCTCATTCCTTTGGGCAGCAAATATTTATTGAGGCCTGACATTGCCAGCCCCATTCTAGGCTCTAGAGATAAAGCCGCAAACAAGACAAATAGAATTTTGGCCCTTGTGGAACTTATAGTCAGGTTGGAGGTTGACAATAAAGGCAGACCTCAAACAATAACTTAATAATGTTATCAGGGGTGATGAATGTCATATCAGAATAGGGAAGACAATGATCTCTACATGTGTGAGTGTGTGTGTGATATTTCAGCAGTGGTTAGGGAAAACCTCCACATAAGGTGACTTTTGAGCTCTGCCTTTGCTATGGACTGACTGAATATCTGTGCCCTCCCACCCCCACCCAATTCATATGTTGAAGCCCTACGCCCCAGTGAGATGGTATTTGGAGGGGGGACTTTTGGGAAGTGGTTAGATCATGAGGATGGAGCCCTCATGAGTGGGATTAGTACTCTTATAAAGGTGATACCAGAGAAATAATCTCTCTCTTTCAGGCATATGTTGTCGTCCAATCGCTCAGTCATGTCCGACTCTTTGTGACCCCATGGACTGCAGCACACCAGTTTTCCCTGTCCTTCACTGTCTCCTGGAGTTTGCTCAAACCCATGTCCATTGAGTCGGTGATGCCATCCAACCATCTCACCCTCTGTCTTCCCCTTCCCCTCCTGCCCTCAATCTTTCCCAGCATCAGGGTCTTTTCCAATGAGTCGGCTCTTCAAATCAGGTGGCCAAAATATTGGAGCTTCAGCTTCAGCATCAGTCCTTCCAATGAATATTCAGTGTTGATTTCCTTTGGGATGGACTGCTTGGATCTCCTTGCAGTCAAAGGGACTCTCAGGAATCTTCTCCAACACCACAGTTCAAAAGCAGCAGTTCTTTGGTGCTCAGCTTTCTTTATGGTTCAACTCTCACAGCTGCACATGACTACTGGAAAAGCCACAGCTTTGACTAGATGGACCTTTGTTGGCAAAGTAATGACTCTGCTTTTTAATACATCCTCAACACAGCAAAGATGGCAGTCATCCACAAACCAGGAAGGGATTACATCAGACACTGAATCTTGATCTCGGACTTCACAGACTCTGGAATTGTGAGAAATGAATGTTAGCTATTTAAGCCACCCAGTCCATGGTAGTTTTATCACAGCTGCCTGAGCTGCCTGAGACAGCTGTCAACTGACTGTTGCCATCGATGGCTGGAATCATCTCAGTGACCCTCCGGCAGCCAGTCCTTGGGATGCTGCTGACACAGTACCCCGTTGGTCAAGCAGAATATTAGGCAAGCACAACCACAACCACAGCTCCAATAATTAGCATACTCTGATCATCTATGTGCCAGACACTATTCTCTGCTTTGTATACAAGATGTAATTTCATCCTTATCTTAGTTCTCTGTGGAAAGTACTATTATTTCTCTTTCATGATAGGAAAATGGAGACAGAGACGGAGTTCCTAGTTGACATGCTATGTCTGGATCAACTTTAAGTGGGCCACCTCATAAAGACGTTTTCCCCTCCGTAGCACTAATACCTCCTTACAAGCACGCTGATTCACCTGAGTTGGCTGTCTTAGTTAATTAGGCTTTTAGAAGCCAAACTGCACTGTGAAAAAGTGCAGCCTCCATGTAGGTGCCAGCTCTTTGAAGAATTGGCCCTTCTAGACTGTAATCACGAGAGAAAGCGCCCACAATTGATCCAAACGGAATAAAGAAGCAGGAGAAGGAGTCGAGGGCCAAGGGGCCCGGGAAGTGTCATCCGTGGATCGTACCCTTTCCAGAGGGGCTTCGTATTTTTTAGTTCTCTTGTAGCCCTTTAATTTGCTTATTTATTTTTGGCTGTGCTGGGCTTCCGTTCCTGTGAACGGGCTTTCTCTAGTTGCGGCGAGCTGGGGGTGCCCTTCGCTGCGGTGCACAGGCTTCTCGGAGGTGTTTTTTCCCTTATCTCCTAACATCTCAGCCAGGGGTGGCCCCCAGTCCTCAGCAGCTGCCTCCAGCCTTGTGGTCCCTTCACTAAAGCCCTAGAGTGCAGGGGGTTAGGGGAGAACTCACATCCGGCGCTGGTGTGAGTGGGTGAGCCTGGGGCCCTGCTGAAACTGTAGGATGAACCACAGTGGGTGTCTCCCCACTCTCCATCTCCGCGCCCAGGACTTTGAGCCCAAGCGGAGGAGGCTGCCCTGAATGTCAAGGTCAGCCTTCAGAGGAAACAGCAACAGGAGCGGAGGCAGCAGTCTCTTACGAGGCCTTGCCCTCTGCAATCCTGCGGAGCTGGCCCTAAGCTCAGTCCCCGATGTACTTCTCTAAAAGAAAGGAAGTACAGCCGAAGCGAAGCTGGCCAGGTGCTGTGGCACCCAGAGCTTCTGTCGAGGCCCCAAAACGACTTTCACATCGCACTCAATTCCCCACCCCACCCCCAGTTCTGAGCAGAGGTGCCTGTCACCTAGTTCTTGGTGCTCCCCACTTCCAGCGTGTTCCGTGATGGTTACGGCCCACCGAGGACAGCTGTAAGACCCAAAAAGGAAGCCCAGCTTTCCTTTGTCACCTCTGCCCATTTTTGGTTTTCAGTTTAAGATTCAAAGAAGAAAGGAATTCACCCGGCTTGATCATCAAATGCAAAGAACACTGGCAGGCAGATGAGTGTCCAGTACCCCCTCTCCGTAGGTGTGGGGTGCGTGGGGGTGCTGGGTCACGTCTCACTGTCTCCCTGGCATCCTTCCAGCCTGGGACCGCTCTGTCTTACACCAGGAAACGGTGTCTTTGAACCCCTTGGTGTCATCTGAACCAAGCCATCTTTGGCTGCTTCTCCTATATGTTGCCAGGGGAGGGTCTCCCTCAGAGAAGTGAGGCCAGCTTCCCAGGTCAGATTCCACAGAAGGAAACAAAGAAAAGGAAGCATCTGGGGCTTCAAAATAACTCTTCCAAAAAGTTCTAAATTATATTGGGAACCAGGCGATCTCCCCACAATCTCCACACCCAGGGGTGAGCCAGGACATGTTTAACAACTGGCTCTCTGGGGGCAGGGAGCCCTGATTTATTGCCTGTGCCAACTGCTGTGATGGAGATGGTCCACCACAGCCAGATGCAAGCTTTCCAATGTAAGGTCACTGAGTGCAAAGTTAAGAAGAGATGGTTGTTATCGGCTCCTGTGAGTCACTGTGACCTCAGCACACCATCAGTGTTCCATTGTCAACGATGGGAAGGCTGGCGGACTTCAACTCTCAACTCAAATTAAAACTGTGGTGAGACCCAGCTAGTCCCTGGGTATAGTGGTACAAGTGGTATAGGACACACACCTTGAGGAGCTGGGCAGAGAGCAGTTTCTCTGCATGGAAAAAAAAGAAAGAAATATTGGGAAAGGTCTCTATAGTAGGTGGCTAGGAAGAGAAAAGACTTAAGAAGAAATATATGGGATATTTGGGCAGTGTTAGGGGTGGGAGGCAGATAAAATCCTATTTGCCATTTATGACTTGAATAATTGAAAAGTGAAAAAGAAAATTAATATTAAAAGTGCTCTTTGCTGTGTAATGTATGCATCCCTTTACCGTCCTTTAAGAAACCTTCAGTAAAATCTTCAGATTAATTCTTCACTTATGGTTATCTGAGTGGTTGTGCTTTGTGAAGACAGAATGAAGTGCTGGGCTCCTCTGTGATGCCGCCATAGAACAGATTGCCTATTGATGGGACAGTAGCCGTGTCTACGTCCATCTGATAAGGATCTCTTACATTTTTTTCAAATCAGTAATCACTAGATGGTAAGCTCCATAAGAGCAAGGACTTGGTCAGTTTTGCTCCCCCGGGCATCACTGTCTGGCCTGTGGAGCGTGCTCACTGTATACGGAGTGTCGTGAACAGCTCTCTGGCATCTCTGTGATGCTCGAACACAGTAGAATGCCTTAGGACTCTCGGCAGTGACGGAAATGTCCTCTGTGCTGTTTAATATGGGAGCCACCAGCCACGGATGGCTACTGAACACTTGAAATACTGCTACTGCAATTAACTGGATTTGAAATTAATTTAAATTGAAGTCTAAATGGCCACACATGGCCAGTGGCTATCATAATGGGCAGCACAGCAAACAGCCTGTGACTCAAGTTACCGTCTATGGATCAGCAGCTTTGGCGTGACCTGGGAGCTTGTGGGAAATTCAGAATCTCAGGCTCCGCCCCTGAACTACAGAATTAGAATCTGTTTTCCGTTCCCATGGATGTGTGTGTGCGTGCTAAGTCGTTTCAGTCGTGTCCGACTCTGTGCGACCCTCTGGCCTGTAGGCCTCCAGGCTCCTCTGTCCATGGGATTCTCCAGGCAAGAACACTGGAGTGGGTAGCCATCCCCTCCTCCAGGGGATCTTCCCGACCCAGGGACCAAACTTGCGTCTCTTAGGTCTCCTGCACTGGCAGGCAGGTTCTTTACCACTAGCGCCACCCGAGAAGCCCTGTCTGTGTACACGCATCCGTGTCTGAGAAAGTGCAAGTCACTCAGTCACGTCTGACCCTTTGAGATCCCCTGGGCCATACAGCCCATGGGCTTCTCTAGGCCGGAATACGGAAGTGAGTAGCCTTTCCTTTCTCCAGGAAGCTCTGCTCTCATACGAGCCTTTTCACAAGACTTGACTTCATTTGATTCTCACAGAAAGTCTGGATTGTGGTTCTCACTCTCCCTGTTTTATAGATGACATATTCAAGCCTCTGATAGCTTATGTGGTTTGCTCAAAACCACAAAATGGAAAGGAGAGACTGGGTTCCAAGCCCAGCATTTCTTCCCTTTTGTTCTTTGTGCTGTTGGGATGGAAGCAGCAAGTGAGTTCCAGGCAATCTCAGGACCGCTGTTTCTTCCAGTGCTGTTCTTAAGTGGCGTAAGATTGCAGCGCTTTACTGCGGGAACATGAGCTCAAGAGTAGGTGATAGTGGAGAGGGCCTCGGAATGACAGGGACTCGGAGGGGAGGGGAGGAAATTAGCTATCAGCTTGTGGTCTCTTCCTCAAGCCGGCTGAGTGAGCAAGAGCTAAGACACGGTCAGGAGCAATGCCAGGCTGGCTTTTAACCAGAAAAAGTAGTCCTTCTGTTGTTCAGGATTTATTTCTATACACAAAGTTAGCTGCAACTGTCTGTTTTTCTTTTGTTTGTTATTTCATCATGTTGAAATAGGTTGGAGAGATTTTTTTTTTTTAACAATCTGCAGATTAACTATTGATTGGTTTGTTTAAATTTCCCAAAGGAAATCTTTAAGAGTAAGGGCAAGGGGACTCCCTCCAGGATGGCTGAAGGTGAGATAAAAAGATGGAGAGAAATTAGCAGTGGTTTCAAATACGAACCCCGAATCAAAAGAAGTTCACAAGGAGTGAGATTCTAAATAATGACTTGTTTCATTGCCTAGCAGGTGCTCATGGAAGCATCTGTCTGTAAGAAGCTTCAGGTTCATATTAAATAAAATGAACATCTCATGTGATTAGAGATGGTACCTGAGTGTCTGCAGTGAAGTTAAAAAGTCTGGTCTGCAGTCTGTCTGTGCCGGCCAGTCACTGAATTGTCGGTGTGGTCACTTTCCTCTTCAGATCAACTCAGTCCCTATCCTACACTATTTCATTGGCCTTATCTCTGTAGACCTCACAGCCTCAAGTGAAGGGCCATGTTACAAAAAGTGGCTAAAATTAGATGTATGTATTCCTGGCTGGCAAGCCAGTGAGAGAATAGGAAAAGGAACAAATAAGTAAACCAATGAACAAAAGTGAAATAATGATGATTGAGGTCTGGCAACCATGCCTTGCACTGACAAGCTCCACCTCCTCCCGGCCCACCCCCCCCATGACCTGGTTCATCTGTTTCCTGGGTTGGAGAATGGTTACTCCTTCACACAGACACCTGAGCCACGAGCCCTGCCATCACTGTGGATTCCTCTCTGAAGGTATTCTTGACTCACCCCTCTGTCTCACCCTTCACATGCAGCTGATCACTAATTCTCATGAACTCTAGCTTTTAAGTAACTCCATGATATCATTTCTATTCTGAGTCACAGTTCACATCTTACGTTACCTGGAATTCTGCCTCCTAACCACCCCCTCCCAACTCTGCCTTTAGAATGGCTACCCACTCCAGTATTCTTGCCTGGAGAATTCCATGGCCAGAGGAGCCTGGTGGGCTACAGACCACGGGGTTGCAAGGAGTCAGACACCATTGAGCGACTAGCACTTTCACTTATCAATCTACTATTTCTGCAGAAAGAGAAAGCGAATTCCCAAGGATAATTCAACAATAATCTCTATTTCCACCATCCAGAACTGTCAGATGTGCATCAAGTCTTTTCTAAAATTATGTCACAGTTCTAGATAACATTCCTTTTATTCACTAACTCCTTTTTGCATTCTTCCTTTCCGCTCGTCCAGAGGCAGTCACCCTAGTGAGTCTGGTGTATATAGTAGATTGTATTATTTTTTCCATAATATTTTGTTGCCGCCTCATCTTGTGTTCTTTTTGGAGGTAGGACACAACCTATCACAGGCCAGCAGAGCCTGGCGGAGCCGAGCAGGGCCATGGCCAACCTGCCACCCTCGTGTAACGTGCGTGAAGGCAAACACTCACTATTGTAACCCGCTGAGATACTGGGCTTATTCGTTATGCAGCAAAAAATATGACTAATTCAAAATACTTATGCCTGTGAAAGTTTACCTATCTTGCTATACATACATATGCATCCACAAGCCATAGAGAGCTCTGTTTCGTATGTGTTCCAAGTTTACACGGATGGTTGCATTCTAGATATATTTTTCTATATCTTGTTTTTTACACTCAAGATCTGTTTCGGATAGTTCTCCATGTGGGCGTGTGCTGATCTAGGTTATTCGCTTGAACAACTGTCAGAGAAATGTTTCTAAACCACAGATACGGTGCTGCCACGTCTTCACCTTGAAGGGCGGACAGCTGACGTAGTCACCGTGGCACAGGGAGCAGGTGGACTGCAACCCCTCACCGAAGGCAGCCAGGTGATGCATCGCAGCGACTGCCCCGTGCAGCGGGGCCCACGCGTCAGCGCCTTCCACAGCTCAGGGGGCCTCGTTTCAGACAGAAGCTTAGAGAGGAAGGTGAGGAAGGCAAGCCAGAGCCCCTGCTCTTGCATCTGATCTTAGAGCCACGACTGGCGTTCGTCATCTCTCTGCCATCCACTCCAGCTTCCTCTTGCCCTCAGTTAGCACCTTTGCTGCTCTGACGGTTTGTCTAGCGCTTTGACTCAGACTTGCATCCCCGAGGGGTCTGTGTCCCTGGTCGCCTGGCCCTTTGTAGGTTGGGCTTGCAGCATTCATGCGTTTACTGTCCAAATGTTAAGAGGTGGCTAGGCCTGCTCCAGTGGGTCACCTTGGCCCCAAACCCACTCCTCCTGGTCCCCATGGCACAGCAGCACCCCAAGCTGGTTTTGCACTGAAAAAGGACGTGAAACCCGGGAGGCTAATTCTAAACCATTTCCTGACTCCACCCTCAGATGACTAGTCCATTAATTTGATTTCCTTTCCGTTGATCAAACTAAGTTTATTTAAAAATTCTGATTATGATCCCATTCTAAGCGTATAAAAATATATGTGTTTACATGCATATGTGTATGTGCATCTATACATATCAGGGGCTATACAAAAAAAGGATACCACAAAAATCACCCAGAATACTGCCATCCAGAGGGAAATACTGCTATCTTTTGATATCTTTCTTTGTAGTTTCTTTTTCTATATATTTCTGTGATGTTTCTAAAATGAAAACTACATGTATGTATATATAAATTATTATCCTGCCTCTTTAAAACATCTAATAGTATATCGTGACTACTTCCCAACATTTCTGTCTTTACACTGTATTCAAAAAAGGTCAAAAGAATCAGACTGATTGTGATTACTTCTCAATAGCATTCTCAAAGTAATTTTTATGATAAGAACTGGCTGACTTTGAAGAATTAGAACACAACATTTTCTCTTTAGAAGGCTAAAAACAGCACGCATAGTATATGGCATATATAAATAGTGACTACCAAGATAATAAATGTATTATATTAGCTAACTCAACAGTCATATTATGACTCAGTATATATTTTTAAGGATTTTTTTTCTTATGTGGACCGTTTTTAAGTCACTGAATTTGTTACACGATTGTTCCTGTTTTATGCTTCGGGGGCTTGGTCCTGAGGCCTGTGGGATCTCAGCTCCCTGACCAGCATCAGACCCGCACCCCCTGCTTTGGGGGCAAAGTCTTAACCCCCGGACCACCGGCGAAGTCCTTGAGCTCAGCGTGTATCAGGTCACACACCTCGAACCCGAACCAAAGTTCAAATCTAGGCGTCCTGCCCTCAAACCCCACACTCGTACCTACGAAAAGCGGTTCAGACAAGTTTGTGGGGGAAACAAAAGCCCAGGGGACAGGAGGAAGTCCAGCCGAGCAGGGGAATCGTGAAGACGGGGTCGGGCCAGAGCGTCCGTCGGGCTGGGCGGCTGCCTCCAGAGGGCTCCCCCGAGGCCCCGGGACCTCTGGCCTGCAGGTGAGTGGGTGACGATGTGCAGCACCTCAGCCTGGGACCCGAATCCCCAGGGAAACTCAGGGAGGCAGCCCCGGCTCGGGGCGGGGGGGAGAGAGCCCCAGGTGCAGGAGACCGGGAGGAAGGAGGTGGCTGGGGAAGGAGAGAGGTGGGGCTAGAAGTCAGGCAGTGGGGACCCCCTCCCCTTCTCCCCCCGACCTGCCTCCCACTCTGGGTTACCCTGCCTCGTTGAGAGGAGATTAAACAGCCATACACAACAGGAGTGATTAAACACACTCACCAAAAGACATGTGCCAGAAAGTTCCTAGCAGTCCTGTTCAAACAGCGCCAAACCGGAAACTACAAATGTCCATGCAGCAGGAGGCGTGAATAAACTGTGGTCTAATCACACTGTGGAATACGACACGGCGGTGAGAGTGAGCAAACCATTCTGCACATAGCAATCAGGCGGCTGAACCTGCAAACCCGATGTCGAGGGAAAAAAGACACAGGACCATACATTCCGTGAGATTCCAATCATGAGAATTATCAAAGCAGTCCAAGCTCTTCTGTGCCCCCAGAAGTAAGGGGGGGGTAGTGACTAGCAGGGTCACGACGGGGCTTCTCATCTATTTATTTTAAGTTTGGGGTGCACGTTGTGTTTGTGCATTCTAATTATTTCATCTAAAACTCAAACACGGGCTTATTAGATTTAAAAAATAAGAAAAGAAGTAGGAGGAAAAAATGACCAAGAGCAGCAATGGCAATAGGCTAACCCAAATCATTATGATGAAAACATTTAATTTCGCACAACTTCCATCTATAGGTAGAAATAGTACACTTTTGGCATGTGTTTCTATACAGTTACCCCCCCCCCCCCCGCCCCCGCCCAAAGCATCCTAGCCCAGTGATCATAAGAGAATCAGCAAAGAAGTTTCAGGCTCTCAAATAATTCATGGTTGTTCCAACCCACTTTGGAAGATTCACAGCTCTGGGCTGCAGGGCATGGTTCCAACGCGCTTTGAAGTCCTATTGCATTATTTCTATGTAATGCAAATTGACAAGGTCTCTAAATTAGGCAACTAACTAGAAGATGAGGTCTGAAAGCCTGCTTTATTAGCAGCCAGGAACCTGGTCTGAAAGATTTATCTGTTTGTGGTCAGGGCAGGGGTGGAGAGAACGTTTTCTACACAGGGACTCAGGGAGACCGGAGGAATGGGCGGGGGGAGCAAATGCAGAAGCCAGGGAATAGATCTGGAGGTTGCCCATTTTTCTAGGCTCTATTTGGCAAATATTTATAGAGCCCTTTCTTTGCGCCAAGCACTCAGTAAGCACTCTGTGAACAAAGACTCGTTAAACCCTCACAAAAGCGTGTGAGGTGGGTGCTCTTAGCACCATCCTGGTTTTTAGGTTAGGAAGCCGAGGAACAGGGAGGTTAAATGGTAATCGGAAGAGCACGCAGCTGCCCGGCGGCAGAGCCAGAGTCCAGATCCAGTCAGTCGGGGTCCCCTGTCCTGGCTCTCAACAGGCAGCCAAGCTGCTCATTCCGAAAGAGGCGGCGCGACTCGAGGGTGGCGACTTTGCTCTTCCTCGCCAGCGTCCCCGTTGGCGGACCTGCTGCTGTTCCTGCTGCCTGCGTGCTGTGCTTCCAAGATCGCGCAGAAGTCACACCCTCTCTCCATCCCCCACTCCAGCGCGTCTTTCAGGTGCTGTTCTGTCGATGCCTGAACGTCCACCATTGGCATTTGTTCTTCTGGGTACCTGCTGTAAGCTGGGCTTCCCTGGTGGCTGAGATGGTAAGAAATCTGCCTGCAACGCAGGAGACCCGGGTTCAATCCCTGGGTCGGGAAGATCCCCTGGAGAAGGGAATGGCTACCCACTCCAGTATTCTTACCTAGGATTTCGAGGACAGAGGAGCCTGGTGGGCTACAGACCACAGGGTCTCAGAGAGTCGGACACGACAGAGCAGCGTTCACTTTCTGTTTCCCCCGTGCTCCTTACAAAACTGCAGATACCCCTGCAAGATGTCTGTGAACCAGGATCTGACTGCAGCTGCCCCCACTTTTCTGAGAAGGGCGAATTGAGAACACGGAGGGAGAGCGGGGTGAGGAGATTCCCAAACCAGGCGGGGTCTGAGCACCAGACTCCCTGCCCTCACTGCTCCGTCTCAGGACAGCAGGTCTGCGGCTGTCCAGGGCACATCTCTTTACCCATCCATTCATTTCCCACGCTTGATCCTTAATAGACACGAACCTCGTTCTAAGTGGCGTGCGGGGTATAACGGCTTTATAATTCTCAGTATCCCTGGAGGTGTTATTCATGTTTTAATTCACAAAACTCTTCTTATCTGATCATCTAGGGTCCACTATTATTATCCCCAAGTACCATTGAAGAAAGTTGGGTTCAGGAAGTCTCCGTGAGCTTCCCAGGGTCATTGGGTTTATGTTTAGCAGGAATCAGGACCAGACCTTCAATTCACCCCAGTGCAGCAGCTGAGGAAAAAAAGGGGGAATTAGTCAACAAGTGCTTTTTTTGTTTATTTATTTGTTTTTATTGTGGTAAAGTACGTATAACATACCTAACAACTGGTGGCTCAGGTGGTAAAGAGTCCGCCAGCAATGCAGAAGACCTGGGTTCAATCCCTGGGTTGGGAAGATCCCCTGGAGGAGGGAATGGCAACCCTCTCCAGGATTCTGGCCTGTGAATTCCACGGACAGAGGAGCCTGGTGGGCTACAGTCCATGGGGTCGCAGAGTTGGACACAGCTGAGAGACTAACACACACATACATAAAATTTAGCATCTTAATAATTTCTTAAAAAACACATATTGTTTATTCTCTGTCTTATACTTTATGTATTTATTTTTTGGCCACACCTCATAGCACATGGAAATTTCTCGACCAGGGATTGAACTTGTACCACCCCCCGCCCCCAACCTTTATCCCCCTGTCTCCTGCAGTGGAAGCCGGAGCCTTAACCACTGGACTGCCAGGGAAGTGCCTTAGCCATTTCTGAGTGTCCAGTTCAGTAGTGTTAGGCACCTTGACACTGTTGTGCAACCCAACTCCAAATTCTTCGTAGCATGAAAAATGGAAATTCTGTCCCCACTAAGCAGCAATGCCCCATTCTCTTCCTCCCCATCCCCTGAAAGCCCCACGCCACTTTCTGTATCTGGATTTGGCGCCTCTAGGACTTCATGTAAGTGGATTGATACAGAGTTTGTGTCTCCATCGCTGCTTTCTTTCACTCAGCGCAATGTCCGTCCTCAGGGTTCATCCGTGTTGTAGCGTGGGGCAGGATGTCTCTCCTTTTTAAGGCTGAATGGTGCTCTGTCGTATGTATGGGTCATATTTTGCTTCTCCTGTTTGTTGGTGAGCACTTGGGTTGCTTTACCTGCTGACAATTTCAAGTAGCGTTGCTATGAAGATGGGTGTAGAGATATCTGAGTTCCTGCTCTCTATTCTTTTGGATCAACAAGTGTTTTTAAAATCAAGTAGGGACATGAAGATTATTAAGCCCGCCATGAGACCTTAGAGAAAGTATTGTGAAAGCCAAGGTCTGGTGATAAGAGTGTGAGCGAGCATTTGG